GACCTGGAGGGTTTCCTGTGTTCCCCTCTCGTCCTTCACACTTACTTATCAAGTTCAAATGACTGTAGTCCCTGGGTATCTCTTGAATCTTTTCCTTGGATCATAGCACTTGCCAGCTTAATCCTTAAAATAAATTCTCAATTCCTTTGGAATGCGTATACAAATTATTGCCCCACTTTCTCTACCTGATCCTCTCCTGTAGCCAAAACTCAGTTACTCGAGCTCCTGATAACTGCAAGGTCCCCTCGTGTGTTCTGAACTTTCAGCTTTGATATTTTCTCTATCAGGAACCCATTGCTTGAAAGTCCAGCCGATATTTCTTCCCTTTCCTGGGGCTTTCCTCTCACACGCCCTTCACTCTTACCACTGGCAGGTTGGGAAGCTGCCTTCTCTGTGGTCTCTAAGCTCCTGCCTACAGCCCTGTTATAGGCACACACCACCTCTAGTTTCTGTCTTGTCTTCTGCACTGTGCCGCAGGTGAGGAACTGATATTTCACTTTATACAGCAGCGTTTGTGGTGTGCTTTGGACATAAATGGAAACTTTATCATATGCGCTTATTAAATAAGTAAATAGAAAGGTGATTCTACTCAGGAGAGGGGATGAGAATCAGGAGAAAGTAGGCTGTGTAAGAGTGCACTGAGCTTTTTAAAGCCCCCACTCTCCCTAGTTCCTGTGTTAGGCTGGGTTTTCTGGAGAAGCAGAACCAGTAATACCTACCTATGTACAAGAAAGGACTTTATATTGAGAAAGAATTTTATAATAAGGATGTGACCCACACCAGCCCAACTCAAGTACGTAGGTCCGACACTCCCTGGAGCCACCTTTAGACTCGGGCAGTTTTCAGTGAGTGAACCAGGAAGGTGAAGTGGGAAGCTGGGAGGTCACGTGCCGGTGGGTGCAGAGTCACATGGATCCAAGGCCCACGGTGCCACAGCTCTCCAGATGGGCCACACAGGCTGCTATCACGCCCTATAGTCCAGGCAAGCAGGAAGGTGAAGAGCGGCGAGAGAGCAAAGTTCTCCGTGTGGCCTGTAAAAAGACCCCACGGCCAGGGGGCATCATCAAGCTGTGACTTCGTGGGTACTTTCCACACATTCCTGTCAAGTTGACTTAAAGCTAACCAATGAATTCCCAAAGGCAACATGTGTCCATGTGAGTGAGAGGTCATGTTCAGCGAGTCCCAGGGCTTCCAGAGGGGTCTTTGTTTGCTTGGCACAGCGTTGGGTTCTTCAAGGATGACCCTGGACCCTGTCCACATGGCAAAACTCTACATGTCTCCAAGGATCATGGAGAGGGGGGAGTCTAAAACCAGTTCCATGAAAGCCATCAGATGGCAGCAAAATGCAGAATGGCCTGAGGAAAGGAGAGATGGGCAGGCAAGGCGGTTGGCAAAGTGCTTTGGGGAGAAAGGCGAGGAGGAGGGTGGGTGCTGTGCAGAAGTCATTTTCTGGCGCCAGTTCTATTTCTAGAGCCTTTCTTGTCTTGGATTCTGCTCATAATGAAAGTCCTTTAGTGCCATTTTGTTCACTCTCTAAAACACCCTTTTACTCCTAGGCGATTTGTCTATTTGTAGATGCCTGTCAGAAGGGAATACCGAAGAAAGGTTGGTTGCCTGACCTCTCAAGGGAAATTCGAGATGGAAAATGATGAGCCTCTCTGGCGTTAATTCTCAGTTACAGATTCATTTCTCAGGGTTTAAAATGTTCCTTCCAGAAATCAGGAAACATCGCAAAAAATTATTTTGTAAGTCTCACTGGTTTCGTGGTACTTACGAAGCGGGCCACGCGCGTCTTGAGGAGCCCACATTGCAGAAATGGCTCTTCGTATCTATTGTTTATGTGGCTGGTGTTCGTGGCCCCTCAGACTGGTGCTTCTCTCGGGGAAACAGAGCCATCCCCAAAGAGTCCAGGAGGAAAGACTGCCAGGCAGTGGGAAAGCAGGGTGAACTGTCACTTTGTTTGATCGTATTCTCTTCTACCAATATTATTTTCGCTGGAGGATTCAGACTGCGACTGGCAAGCAGGGAGGGAGGAATTCTCTTAATAGGATGTGATTGAATAGGTTGGATGGCAGTTTGTACTGCCTCGGTCTGCTTGGAAGACGGATTAGAGGAATGTAGATGAGTTCATGTATCTGGCTGTGAAAACATCTCAGGCATCTTTCAAAAGTAACATTAGACCTCTGGTCTCCGGTTCCCCGAAGGTGGTTCTCATTGGCAGGTTTCTCCTTGTAGGAAGGAGTCAGGCACTAAGTTGGTCCCCATCGCGTGTTTGCTGCCCGTGCTATCTCATGCTCTGCCTTGCAGACAGGGACGGCGGCCCAGAGAGGACTGAGTGCCAGGATCCCGTCTCCTGCAGCCAGGGAGCTGCCTGCCGCTGACTCACTTCTGTGGTAATCTTGTTCTGCTTCAGAGCTGGTCAAGGGTTTGTTGGTACGTCTAGCCAAGCTTTGCATTGGCGGCCGTAGCGCAGGTAAAGGTTCAAAGGCTTACTTTTAGATTTTGTGCCGGAGTTACATTTGAGACCCTCCTGATTTTGCAGGGGCTCACTGCGCAGGGCGCTTGAGGGACCCAGGCAGGGCCTGGGAAACTTGGGATTCCTGCCCCTTCTGCTCACGAAGGACTGGTTGGAACTGAGCAGCTATCCAGGCCCAGGGAAAGCAACAGCCTTTGTGCTACAGTAGACTGCTCCAAAAAGAAACTAAGTCAAAAGGAACATCATCCCAGTGGTCTGTCAGTGGGTTTGGGTTCATTTGCCTGAAATTTAACCCCTCTCTTTGGGGCTGAATTACTCCAAGAAGCTAAACCCTGTTGTGGTCAGGGGCAGTGGAAAAAGTGAATTCGTTGAAAATGGAACCATAGTATTCCAGACTGTACATTTCAGCAGAGACAGCTCAAAGATTTTCAGGAAGATTTTTAAGCCAGGGAGAAGGGCCCCCCATAACCTCCGTGCTACTGCGCCACATGTTTATGAAAGAAAAAGCTCAGAAATATGTTCTTGTTATCTGCAGATCCGCATTCAGTTAATATCCCTCTAAGTGCTGCCATAAGAAGCCCCTTCTCCCAGCCATCATCTTTAACTCCTCTTCCTGGAATTCAGCTCTTCTGGAGTTCCATTTTCATAATTAGCATCTTGGAATCTAGCTTAATCAGAACCTGGGATCTTCTTGTACTCCATTACTCAAAACCCCGAAAAAGCTCACAGCCATCAAGAGAATTCTGACTCCCAGTAGCCCTGTGGATGAATACAGCCACCTCTGCGGGTTTCCAAGGTTACCAGTCTTTACAGGAGTAGAAAGCCTCATCTTTCTCTTAAGGAGCTGTTGGTGGTTTTGAACCGCAGACCTTGTGGCTAGCAGCCTAACCTGTAAAGCCACTATGACACCGCTTTCCTTATTTCAGTACTGGTAGAATTGGAATCCATCAAAGAAGTTATTCTGAGGGTAAGTTCCTTGCTGTTCCTGGCGCTCTCTCATCCTCTGTTTCCTGGGCCTGTTGTCATTTGCTGTCAAGCCAGCTCCAGCTCAGGGCCACCCCTTGTCTGCAGATTAGGACTGTACTCGGTAGGGTTTTCAGGGTTGTGACCTTTTAGAAGCAGATCACCAGTCCTTTCACCCAAGATACTTCTCAGTGGTTTCAAACTACCAACCTCTTGGCAAGGAAGAGGACACTGAACCATTTTCACCATTCCTTGACTCCTTCTGGGACCTAGGACTGCTGGAGACCACAGGTTCAATCAGCTAGCAGCTTTTGTTGGCTGGGGGTATGGACTGCCACTTGGAGTTCATTTGCTTCCATAGCATTTTATGCTAAGACGAATCACCTGTTAAGTCAGTGCCTCTGCAGGGTCCCTCCGAGACGTAAGGCCTAATGGGGACCGTGCGTTTAGCTGGCGAGCCCAAGCCTGATGGGTGTGGCTCAGGCGGCGTGTGTTAGGGTAGCTAGGTTTACTGTGGAAGGACAGGAAGACCAGCTTCGCTGCTCTTGTGGTCTTGCCTTGTCTGCCTTCTTCATTTCCCACCAACGCCCATACTATATATAAAGGATGCAAAGCCTATTTCAAAAACGGTCCTCTGTGAATGTGTAAACCATACAACACATGTAACAAAAATGCTTTTTAGTTTAGGGGCTTAACTCCATCCCTTAAAGTCACTAGAGGGGCCCGATTCTTATATAACAACCTCCCTAATGTGCACAGGGAAATGGAAGTTTCTCTTTGTCCCAGGACTTTAATAAGTTGGGCAATCCAACATGACGGCTCCAAAGACATAGTCCCTTAAGAGTTGTTTAATTTTGTATGCATTGAGCGGTGACTGGGAGTGGCTTTTCAAGGCCATTGTAAATGGGAATGGCACCCATTGGTGCCTGGGAAGTAAGAGCTAGGCCCTGCGAGGCTGGTGCATGGATCCTAATTGCCCATGAGGTTCCCTTGCTCAGGACCGTTCCCGTTCCAGTTAGGACATCACTGTGGTCACCATTAAGGCTTCCGTCTTCTGTTTGTGCTGATTGTGATTGTGGTGCTTTCTTGTGGGGAAAACGCACCTCACTGTGTACTCTCCCTGAGCACCGTTGGGTTAAGCAATAACAAATCAACTTTAAAGACAGGACACTCAAATCCTCTCCGGGTGAATTACAAATGTAAAACGACTGGCTGATCGAGTCAGACGAGTGGGGAGGCTTGGTCTTACATACTTTGGACAACTTGTTAGGAGAGACCAGTCCCAGGAGAAAGACATGATTCACGTTCGGTAAAGTGGAGGGGCAGGGAAAAAGAGGAAGGCCCTTAAGGACATGGACTGACACGGCTGCGTCAGTGGGGCGCAGCCTAGGAATGATTGTGAGGACGGCCATCGGAACAAATGTGCATCAGGCACTGTGGGTTGGGACTCCCTCTCTAGCACATAACAGCAACCACGTCATGTTATGCACTGATGATTGGAGGTGTTTATTTTTTCCTTTGAGTATTTGACTGAATTCTGATGTCCTTCTCCCTCCCTCAGGTGATGGCTCTACCCCGCTTAAGGAGGACACCCCTACCGACAGTCTAGATTCTCTTTCCTCCTCATCTCCCACAACTGCCTCTGTCTACGGGCCTCTGGGACCAGACAAAAACCACCTTCTCATGGATGGGGAGAGCTCCGGGGAGTGGGCCACCACTGTGTAAGTAACTGTCCTTCTGCTTGGTGCTGAGGGGAGCAGGGCCATGGCCTTCTTTACTTTGACACTTACGTGGTGGGTGGGCGCCGAAGCTCTTGGATAGAACCCTTGTCCTGTGGGCAGTGGACCTGCTAAAGGGACAAGGATACATAGAACGGAGCTTTTTTTTCCCCCAATAACTTCGCTGTTTTCTTGGTAAGGAACGGTTGGAATGGTGTGTCTTCAGATCTTGGTTAAATTCATGGTCCTTTGGGGTTGTGCAAAGGAGCCTGGTTACGAGTTGGGCTGCTAATCGCAAGGTCAGCAGATGGAAACCACCAACCGCTGCTCGGGAGGAAGATGAGGCTTTCTACTCCCATAAAGAGAACAACAGGGCAATTCCACCCTGTCCTGTGGGGTCACGATGAGTTCGAATCGACTTGATGGCAATGAGTTTCTACTCCATGTGCTTTCTCACTGGCTGTGTGCACACTTGTAGGGATCTGAGAACGCCTGCCCTATGAATGATGTACTCTTGAAACTGCCTGTAGCTTGATAGGTTCTATAAGTGTTTCAGAACTTGATGCTAGCAGTCGGCTCTGTTCTTCTTCACGCACCATACCAAATCAATAAATGATGGATAAGGTAACACTTTCGTATCTTCTGAGTTTGGTTTAGTTAGCGCCAGACATGTGCAGATCAGTTAAGATAAGTTAGTACAAATCATACCCATCCAAAAGTGCCACGGGCCTGGGTTAACTACAGGGGAGTTGTTTTTGAGTGTTGAATGAGACCGGAGGGAATGCAGATAGGAGGGGGGATTGGGCATCAAATCGGAAACAAATGCTTTTGTCAGAAGACAAAAACAAAAACGTCACTGATAATCACTAGGCAATCAAATTACATCCAGAAATGCATTTATAATTTAAAGTATTTTAATGTCCTGGATTTTTTTTAATCCAAAGTTGCTTAAAATAAATTATGGATAGTGATGTCATCTAACCCTAGCTGGGCAGTTATGGGGTTTTAAATGAAATCGGAAGTCACTCCGCACATTACTTAGCTTTTTATAGTTACTTGCTGAATTCACATGAAATCATTATGAACTCATTAAGTATTAAGGGAGACCAGGGGAAATTTGATAATGCTGAAATTTGAGGGTGACCTGAAGACTTTGAAAATCAAAATGAAATACAAAGTAAAGAAATACAGATATGCCAAGTACAGAAACACATTCTCTAGATGAGCGCCGCCCCGCCGAAGATCATATGTGTATGTTTTATGTGCTGAAGATGGTCCTTTTTTGATGGGTTTAAATTATATGTAACTCAAATATGTGTATCATCATTACCATTCTTATTTTCAGAATAAAAATTCACTTTGACTTCAGTACTGTACCCAACAAAAAGAATGGTTCCATAGAAACCCCAAATCTATAAAGGTACTTGTGTTAGACAGGGTTCTCTAGAGAAACAGGACCAGGACACATGATTAGATAGATAGATAGATAGACAGATAGACAGACAGACAGACACAAAATAAATAGTTAATTTTAGTCTATAGAGCAGTACAAATGGCTCACTGCAACTCACTTCCATGAAACAGCTAATTCATTGGCAGACCTTCAAATCATGGGGGCAACTGGGTGTAAGTCAAGGAAGCAGACAGCTGAGTCCTCTGTAGAACAAATCAGGCAATCAGGCCACAGGCAGCAAACAGCAAGGCAGGTCACCAAGAGTCAGCCAGATGACAGGGTCAGGCACTCCCCAGCTCAAGCGATGCATATATACACCAGTAGCATGTTGAAGCAGTTGTTGAAGGGACCTCAAACTACAGCAACACAGTCCACGGATTGGGTGTCCCTCAGGTGGTGTAGCTCTCAAGTTGAGGCAGAGAACCAGCTAAGGTGCCAATCATCAAAGAGCAAGAGACAAGAAAGGCAAGGCTTGCTGAGCCATTTTTCTCTCAGCCTTTCAATTAAACTACCCTTCAGTGAATCCTACATGTGCTCATTAGTCAGGTTGGCACAATAAACCTACCTATTATAGTACTCCCAAGGTAGAATTTGGCCTTAACTTGTTAAAATAATAATTTCAAAATTAAATAAATTTTTTTTCTTTTTTGGGTGAGAAACCCGATTCCTAATTAATTTCTTTTCATAGCATCTATCACATACAGCGTGGAAGGGGAGTTTAGTTACTCATCCCTCCAGAGCCATTCTGCATAAAAGTGACATTATGCGCCAGGTATAACCAGCGTTCAGTTCACACCACGTCGATGCCTCAAACATGAAGAGCTTGATTTTGGGGGGTCATAAATCAAGCAAGGAGTGAATTCCCCAGCTTCCTCTTCATGTACATTTTTAAATGGTGTAGAAAGCACTCCAACCACAACGGCGGGGGGAACGTGGTTGAAGCAAGTCTAGAAAGGGGATTTTTGCTCTCATGTAGACATGGCCTTACTTTTAGAACAAGGTTTTTTGTCTTGAATAAAATATATCTATATTCTATTACATGTATAGAATATTTCTTGTGTGTCTTTTAAAGGATGTATTGGTAATGATCCTATTGCAGTATAGATTGGTCATTAAATTAGGAAGTATTCTTTTTCTTTTTTTTTACCCAATTGGTGAGAACAGAAGTCTGAAATGAAGGGTGCACCCAAAGAGAAAGGCAGTGAGGCAGAGATTCATGCCCAGCTCCAGAGACAGAAAGTTTTATCCCAAGACTACTTACCTCAAAGGTGGAGTTCAGGGTTTTGTCCGAGTCACGGCACTAAATATGTTAGGTTTTTGGAGTGGTTTACTTTGGTTCTTGATTCGCAGCATTGAA